AGATACTCCCGCCATTATCCAGGGCTTCCAAAAAATAAATCCTGAATGAACCATTCAACTATTAAGCCAAGGACAATAGGTTAGGGGCGTCCGATGTCATGAGCATAACAGACCAAATCAAAAGAAGGTGATGGACAGCACCAACAAGCACCACCATTATCATCTATTTGCACTGGAAGGACCTGAGCACATGAATGCTTTTTGTAGTACAAATCAGGGCAAAACAACAGCATCGTAGTCATGCTCCCTGCGACTCAGGCTATTGAGGAGGATCTAGACCAGTGGTTCTCAGCCTGGGTAACCTCAGGACGCACATTTGTCCCTGGTCATTAAGTCGTGACCCAAGTCGCAGAGCATTAGGGTACCGTTGGGGGGTACCGTTCAAATGAATGGCTACGCAACACACCTCCCCCACCAGAATGCAGGGTAGGTGCGATTGCCTGGTACAGTGCGTTAGTCGCACGGTACTATGTGATTACCGCACTATAGTAGTGTGAACGGGCCCTCAAAAACACTGACATACATACACAGCCATTCTCACACAGACATACACACTCCAAAACATTTTTTGCTTGGTTTTATTTTTTTTAAGGTCCACCCAGTCTCCCTTACAAGAACTGGAGTGGAATCTCAGCCTGGGGTCCAGTGTGGGCTGCTGTGCTGTGACGGAGCTCCATCCATATGTGCATTGCTTGTACAGCTCCCTTGCGTGCCCTGTATAGGTGACGGGAGCCAGAATGTGACGTCACTCCGGTCCAGGCACCTCTATAGAACACATGAGGGAGCTTGTCCCACCCCACCTCAAACTGACACTCGGCGCCGGGATGCATATTTTGAATGGCTGCTTGGCATGAAAACTGACAGTGCTGCGTTAGGGAGAGGCAGACTAGCCTCTCACCTAGAAAAGTGGAAGGCATGTGGCGGCCCACAGAACACGAGGTCGCGAGTCGCGACCCACTTGTGGGACACGGCCCACCGGTTGAGAACCAAGGATCTAGACCAATAACATTTATACAGATGTGTAACCCTAAGACAGGTGTTACTGGCAAGATCACCAAGTGAACATAAAGGGGGGGGGTGAGGAAACTGAAGCAGCTACCACAACTAAAGACTGATAAGGTGCAATATAAACAATTTTTGCTCTTGGTGGGACCAGATAGGCACCTCACACCCATCCCTGGACTAATTATCATTAGAGGATGCTTGCATTAGACATCAGGCCACTTTCAACCTAGATATTGAATGGCAGTAGAGGATACACATTGCTCCCAATGTCCCACACAACGTGAGCTTTCAACACCCATGTCGTGAGTACTATCAGTCAGTCACTGGTATTGCAGTTGGTCATAGACTGGTCTGCAGAAGCTTCAGGCAGCACAGACACATCAGTTGTTCTGGCATCTGCTAGAGTCACTAGGTTGCCAATCAAGATCAGCATAACAAGGTGGTATTCATTGTATTTGAGGGTACGTACGTGTTGTATTCAAACAATGCTCGGGCAATGACCAGGCCCATCCCCTAGAACAAGAAAAAAAAAGTACTTTCATTACCAAGGGAATATAGGACACCTCGGAGACAGATTACAACCCACAGAGTGAGTCAGTAGGCAAGAAATATATCATTACTTACGTTTAGCGTTCCTTCGTCATCCATGATAGACAGTTTCACGATGTATGGATTAACAGACTGCGGAATATAAAGACATGAAATCCGATTATTAGACATGAATTAAGAGCTGCTGGAGATGGCTCAGTATTAAATGAAACCATCCTGGGAAATGTTCTTTAAAAAGTTGGTGATGTCCCTGACAGGGCATTACATAGAAAGGCAAAAAGCAATGCCACTGCCACTGGAAAGGGGGAGAGCGGGGCAAACTACCTGAAGCAGCCTCCCAAACCTTGCTGTCATGGCTGAGCATGACTCTAAGGCCACTTAGACAACAAAAGCCAAAACAGGAAGCGGGGTGACATAACTGGACCTCACCACTGCCTCCCGGGAGACCTGGGCACTCGGGATCCCGCCGCCTCCCGGGGGACCTGGGCACTCGGGATCCCGCCGCCTCCCGGGGGACCTGGGCACTCGCGATCCCGCCGCCTCCCGGGGGACCTGGGCACTCGGGATTCCGCTGCCTCCCGGCACTTGAAGCAATTACTCATATACGTTAATGGCTTCCAAAAGGTGATAAAGTTGTTACTTTTTAATGAGAAAACCACCCACCTCATACTTTCTGTAGTTGACAAGAAGTGCAAGCAAAACGACAGCATCGTAGCCATGCTCCCTGCGACTGAGAGTATTGGAGAGGATCTAGATCAATGACAAACAGCAATTAGGAGACAGAACGGAGGCGCATAGTACAGCCTGAGCAGTGATACTCAGGCTACTTCTGTTACAGGAACCCTGAAATTGGTGAGATACAGAGACTGTCATTGCACCCTCTAGATTGCAGGCGCTCTATGAATACAATAGCCAGCAGGGTAGATTCCTCCACATAATGGGGAAAAAGGAGAATCAAGTGATTTCTAGACGTGTATGGCTAGCTTAGAAAGGAACTTTACCTTAATCTTCGAAATGACAACAAACACACCTTCAGAAATGTTTAGTAATGACAATCTACAAACACATACTTCTAGATAATTGCCGGCTTTTTATACTTTGCATTCCTTATTTCTCTTTTCCTCCCCATTCTTCTCACAGCGGCCATTTTTTATTTTAGAGTAGATTACTAGATCTCCCTTTACTTCCTGGAACTCTTTTATAGGTGACAAGGACATATGACCATGCACATCATTCCCAGGGGAGAAAAATGCCTTTCCCTGACAGGGAAAATGCCAAGTATCGGCTCTGGCACTCGAAAAGTATCGGTGCATCCCTAATGGTAACTGTAACAGATTAGATAGAAGTTACCTGTAGGATAGCTTCAAAAATGCTATTGATCATCACATACTCCAGAATGGTGTTCTGACTTATGTTATCGGTCACCTGACAAATGACAAGAGACAATCATCATGATTCTACATACATGCAATGACACAGCAGGGAATAAAATCATATCATGAGCCTGCGGATTTTAACAAAAGATATCATACATGAACCTCACATGAAAATAGGATCCTCTAAGCTCCAACTGTATTATAAATTACATAATATATAACTCTATATCATTTCACAAACCTAACATTCCTCTCACTTTCCATAGTGTCTTAGCGGCTCCCTCAGGAATTGGAGATATTCAAATTTTTGCTCCTGTGTGTGTCTTTACCTGCAGGAGGATTCACTCAGACAAAGAGAGCTGCAAACCAATCAGCAGCTGCTGTGCTGTCTCTTTAGATCACCTATAGTGCTCTGGGAATCCTCTGCCATGCACTGAATGTTTATTTGCAAAACAAAGATTGTATATGTATATATATATATATATACACACACTGTACATATACACACACACATACACATATACAGCATATTTTGAAAAGTCACAAACTGACAATGTATTCATCTCCATGCACCGCAGAGCATTGTGATGCAGTGCAATGCAATATCACAACATGCTGGGCGGTGTAAAAATGTCCTTGCCTTTTTTCAGCATACACCAATGCGCTGAACAAAAGCAATATGACATAATGCCAATTGCGTCGGGAATACGCTGGGCAACGCTGCCAAACAGTGTTGGTGTGAACGAGCCCTGAGGGTATGGTAATTTATTTTAGGTTTTTTGAGTTTTGAAACCATTCCTGTAGACATGACTGCCAAATAATCTATACATTTGGGCCAATGTTCCTGTGCCAATTTGCAGAAACTCAAAAACAGCACACCCCATAAGGTGGCAGCACACAGCTTACTGCAAATATGCTCTTGCATGCTCCAGGAACCCCTAGGGGTTGGGACATGTGTTGTATGCACATCCCAATTTAGCGCCAAGTTAAAAAATCAGGCACACAAACTTAATTCCACAATGTGATATGAGCACCTCTTAGTACGTCATTGAGGTGCCAGCGTTGTATTGTGGGATGAAAGGGACTTTCCTGAGCTTTTAATACTTGCGCCAGATAAAGGCTCAGACAGGCCATAAAAACATTACAGGCTCTAACCTGATGCTCTACTAAACCCCTTTCTCTCTGCTTAAAATGTGTTTTTATTTCTGCCCCCACTGGAGAGGTTTCCTACCACTTCCTGTCCTGACAAAAAGTGAGGGGAAATCTGCAGGCACACAAATGGCAATAAAAACCTGGCAAATGCTCCAGCTCCTTCCTGTTAGAGTTGGGCTTTAATGTACTGGATCAAAAGCTAAAGAGTTACCTATGATGGTAGTTCCCATCATTATAATTACCTCTTCTTGTCCAGCACCGACCCCATCTGTATGATGTCACACACAATAAGCAGTAAAATCAGGATTTACTCACCGTCACCAAACAGAGAAGAAGCTTCAAACAGAGGCTCTTCAAGCTTTCAGAGCCCTCCCCGCACAGAAGAATATCCAGACTTTCCATCAGGTTCTATGGACAGAACGATGTGTATTACATAATGCTCAGCAAATTATTTTTAGCTGATGTGCTAACTTAGACACTCTGAAACAATTCCATGTCAGAGAGAAACTAGAACAATACACTTTCACATTACCAGATTATGTTGGCTTGATGTTTTATTCAGCTGTGGTGACCTGTTCTCTTTATACATTTAAAAAAACTGGTATGCATTAAAGTGGACCTTCCAGCTTAAATGCAATATCTGCTTTTTAGGTGCCCCCGCCCTCCACCATGCATAAAAGCAGCATCACAAGAAAAAAACCCCGTAGGGGTGAGACAGTTAGACAGTATACTTGCCTCTCCCTGGCTTCCTCCCATGGTGCCCAGGCAAAAGCGGCGTCACCCTCCTTCCAGTGAGGTCCTCCAAATCTCCGCAATGTGCTGAAGCCACTTCTGACAAGGTTTAAACTACTCTACACTCTCCAAAATTAGGATGACATCACCCCCTCCACCACAAAAACTGGAGGAGAGGTAAGTATATCTTTTATCTACCCTACTGTTTTTTTGTTTGGGGGGGGGGGTTAAGTTGATATTTATTTTCTATAAGGGGAAGGGCAGGCCACTTAAAAAGCAGACCGTGCACAGAGTGTCCATTTACACTATATCATTGCACTAAATGCACAGGATCCATGCATTTAACGCACGCTATGGCACAGTGCTTGGTACAGCACACTAGGTGCTCTAGTGAGTTCCCATTGATTCCCAATGGCATCCCAACACACCTTCCCAGCGCTTGTGTGCTGCAACACCGTGCAACGGGCGTTAGCACAATAATGTGCTTTGTGTTGCCACGTGATGAACAAAGTAGTGGATGCATTACTTTTTTTCACCACACAGCAATGCAGATTATTGCACTACCGCCCAACAGGAGATGTGTTGGGGTGCCACTGAGAATCAATGGCAACACATCACACCAGTGCACCTAGTGCGTGGTGCTGTGCGATAGTGACGCAATGGTGTGAATGGGCCCTTAATATTCTAGATATTCAAAATAAGCTGAATGTGGGGATGAGTGATGGGCGTCAGCTCAATAGAAATAGAATATGTGGACTGGCTTGATGGCTCTACAATACATACCCGGGATGGTGTTAATGGCAACCTTTGGTTGAGACCTTCGGGTGTCAAAATGCTGTGGCACGAAGATGATCCACAAACAAAAACAAACACAAAAAAGTAACACTAAAACCTTAAATTTGGGGCATCTTCTTATGTCGGACCCTCACCTTCATTCGGAGTTCTGCTTTATCAAACCCCATCAGAACGTTAATGATATCAAACCCGGACGTTGACTTGTTCTTCTGATGAACCCCTCGAATTAAAGCGCACAGTGTCTGCAAACAAAATATAAATATTTGAGGCTGTAGAAAACTCTGATTCCATCAAGCACTGCACATCCAAAAGAAAGGATTCCTAGGTCATATACATTAAATCTTGCTCTTCTGGGCAACGGATGGCGCAACTTCCACTGAGCTCTGGAAGTTGTCCTGCCTCATTACTGAAGTGCTACTAGTTCAATGACACGAGCGAACCGTGAGTGATGCTGCAAAGGTCTATTCTGCTCTGGCATTAGCATTGCTACCGGAAGCATCGGCAGTGACAGCTAAATAGAACCTGTCATGTGTACAGTATTTTAGTGCAAAAAGCAACAATATGGTTGAACCGCATGATTACATGTAAATTCCTTTGAAACCATCCAAAATGTTTGCAGGGAGCTTAAAATCATGATGGCCACTGTGCCCAGGCATGATAAGTCTCAACTTGCCAAGCTTAGACCTGAGTCCGTCTCCATCATTCAACAATACAATACCAGGCACTCAGTAGCCAAGAGAGGCTCCGTTATTGGATTAGTGACTGGTGGGGCTGAACACAGCACCGACACAGACAAGAGATCGCCACTCAGTCTGGACATTTTGGTGGAACTGGGGAACTGTAATGTTATGTAAACGGGTAAAATTTGAGTATTTAAAGCCTTCAAAGAAGAACCAAGTGGCGACGCAATACCTGTAATGCATTGACCACCCGGATCTGGTGCTCGGCCTTCAGAGCCTGGATGCAGTGCTGAAATAGGCTGTTAATGTTATCCTTAATTTTCATTAATTCTTCGCCATCTAGAGATTCCAATTTGGCTTCCAGATATTCTAAATTGACCTAAAGAGAGTTAGGGTATGGAAACAAACAAGACATCAGCGAAAAGAAATGATAAGCCCGTGCAAACACCACACTGTCAGCTGTAGATGAACAACTACAGGCAGACTGGCCCCAGGGCCGGTGCTGCCACTAGGCAAACTAGGCAGCAGCCCAGGCCGCACTGCTGCCTAGAGTGCAGCCTTGATCAATGACCCCCACCTCCCAGTGAACAGAGGAGTGGAACCGAGAGACAACTTCCTCCCTCAGGTCTGCTCCTCTGCTCAGTTGGTGGGGTTTCAATAGCCAGCCTGCTATTGGCTAGTTCAGATTAAAATAGCCAATAGCAGTCTGGTTATTACTCCCGGCTGTTTACAGTCACCTGTGGCCTGCGGAAGCTAGCCGGCAGGAGAGTGGGGTCAGGGGACTGGTGGGACTGGGGGTTGCGCTGCAGGAGGGTTCAAAGGGGGGTGCAAGTAGCTGGTCTTGCCTAGGGCGCAAAATGGTCTAGCACCGGCCCTGACCGGCCCCTAGTCAGACATTCAGAGACTCCATGCTGAGTTCAGTTTCCGTTTTGCCCTTGCTGAGTATGGAGGCTTTTAGAATGAAAAGTCTTCCCACCGCACAATAAATACCCAGAAGACAACCTTTGTAAACTACCAAGCTAGAATAAATGACACCAGATTCTACATCTGGGTCTTCTTGTTGAGCTAACACTGCCTGCGAATCTTGTCAAGTCAGCAAGGTGCTCTACTGTCCATACAGACTGGGCCTCAGGAATGTCTTTTGCATAAAAGGACAACTAAGACAGAGAAGTGGCTCTAAAGCCAAGCTCATGGAGAGGCCAGCTTGTGAACACTGGAAGATACTGGAAACGGGGGAAGGGATAACACAAGCAGTTACCTTCATGAGAAACAATTCATCCCAGAACCTGGGGTTGGATTTGGTGGGATCATCTTTCTGCAAGACAAAGAACAAGAATACATCCATTTCATTCACAAGCTTACAAGTTTTACATAGGCAAGATACAAATGATAATTAATGTGGAATTCCATGTAAAATGTTGTTTTTTTCTCGTTTCAGATATAGTACCGTAGGAAATATTTTGATTGAGATCAGTGTCTCCAGTGGGGAGACTTCTCTTTATTTCCTGTGTGGCCCCCAAAAGTGTATTTTTCCTTTAACATTGGCAGTGGCTAAGAACCATACAATGTACAGTATTGGGTCGGGGGGATGGGGTCTGCCTAGATATCACTGTTCTAGTTAAATCGTGAAGCTGTGATGACATGTCCCATGTAACCAGGATGGAGGGCTGTCTCCAGGTCTAAAGCATGGATACACATTGTATTTAAAGTGGGGTTTCCCCAGCTATACCCCCAGGGGTTTTCCCTAGCTCTACCTCTGGAGTTTTCCATAGGTGTACCCCCTGCGGGTTCTCCCTATCTGTACCCCCTGCGGGTTCTCCCTATCTGTACCCCATGGGGTTTCTCCCTATCTGTACCCCATGGGGTTTCTCCCTATCTGTACCCCATGGGGTTTCTCCCCAGCTACACCACCCGGGGATTCTGCCTAGCTGTACCCCCTGGGGGTGAACCCATAGCTGTACGCCCCAGGGGTTCTCCCTAGCAGTACCACCCCGGGGTTCTCCCTAGCTGTACGCCCCAAGGGTTCTCCCTAGCTGTACGCCCCAAGGGTTCTCCCTAGCTGTACGCCCCAACGGTTTTCCCTAGCTTCCCCATTCTGTCACTGTTAATGGCACATCGATTATCCAAACCGTAATTCTATTTTGAAGTGAAACTCCTGCAGAAAGTTGATTTGGGCAGAAAAGAGCCATCATCACTGTCATTTCTTTTATAGCTGTATGTACCCCTATTCTATAGACTTCCCTTAATTTCCTGTCCCAGTGGAAGGAAGCGAGGGGACACAGGCACCAATTGAAACCAAACAAAAGATCTAACTCTTCCTCACTACCCTATACAAAATGCTCCTATAGCTGTTTGTGTTGGAGAGATTCCCTTTGACCTCCTGTTTCGTTGGGGTGCCAATGAGAATGAATGGAATTTACCGATCCCAATGTACTGCAGCTTACCCGGTAAGCTGCAGTACATTGGCTCCAGAGTGTAGCTACCCTAAGACAGGAAGTGTGTTATTTGCAAGATCACCAGGTAAAAAGAAAGGAGAACAAGCTGAAAATAAAGAAAACTAATGCAGCCACCACATCTAATGTCTGCTAAGCCGCAATAGGTGACATTTTTTTATTTGGGTGTCTCCACACTTTAAGGTGGGAATCCCCCTTTAAAGGAACGACTTCCTTGTCAGCAAAATACTCTCATCATTCACATGTAGCCATTTGTTTCCTGCAGCACACAGACCCTCTTATTAATTAATTCTATAAATATCCAGGTGATGACAATTCACAAGAGACGTTGTGGGCGAGACAAACAAACCGCGCATTCTTCTGGCGGAATTTGCGAGGGCGCTAATCGCGGTCGCTGGATGGTTCAGCGGGCGGGTGACTTGGTCGTTCTGCCTGTTTGTAGAACAATTCCACTTTGGAAAGACCCGAGCCACCCTCTCATTATCGGGCCACGCTTCACCAATCTTATTATTACCATACTTTTCTTTTATTAATTGAAAGAATGCCATGGCAACGAAAGGGACTAAAGGCGGCTTAGTTGCTATGGCGACCTTTCGTAAAATTCTAAAATCGGCCCCGCGCTGCATGGATAATGTCATGAAGCACAGGAGCAGACATGAGGGCTTGAACAATGACAATGAGGACGCTATCTCCGGGGAACAGGTGGCATTGTTCTGCTGATGGGCCACAGAAACTTTAAAAAAAAATTGTATATAAAAAATAACAAAAGGAGGTGATGGCAGCGCTGGGGCGTGAAATATAACATGCACTACGACTCGAAAGAGAACATGTCATGTTAGGAATACAAGCACTGCCATCGCCAACCTCTAATATCAGCTGCTGATTTCCTGTCCGTTGTCTCCGTCCTCTGCTCTTCACTGTCACTGGCTTGGAGTCACTATGCGCGTTGGAGTTTGGAATTCACTGAATTTATAATTGTTCCAAATCAATGGCTTGCCAAATAGTAAAGCTGGAAGATGAGGGTGGCTGGCAGGGAGTTACCAGTTTCTACAAGGGATCACTCGTATATCTCCGCTCACCTACTGCTTCCTGTCACTCTGTGAGCCGTCGAGGTAAAAATCCATCACACTCACGCAGAGTAACCCCCTGCAATGCCTATTAAAGTGCACCCCTCTTACCATTGCCGACTCTGTAGAATCCGGCCTTCACACTCTTTGACCGACCACTGTATAAATCCATCACACTCTCAAAGAATAACCCCTTGCTATGCATGGTAAAGTACATACCTGATCCCGTTACCAAGTCTGCTGAATCTGGCCTTTACACTCTGACCACTGTAAAAATGTTCCGATGACTAGACCGATACTTCCTGTATCAGGAAGCTGGGCAGCACGTCGTTACGCGCTGCCTGGCTTCCTGATTGGTCATGGAGCCGGCTTCCTGGCCAATCAGGAAGCCGGGCAGCGTATAATGACTCGCTACCCGGCTTCCTGATTGGTGGGGAAGCTGGCCAGTCAGGAAGCCGGTGCAGTGTAATGACGCAGCGCCCGGCTTTCTGATTGGCCAGGAAGCCGGCTTCATGCTCCCTCATCCCCTCATGACGAGGGAGCATGGAGTCGGCTTCCCGGCCAATCAGGAAGCCGGGGTCAGCATCATATCACGGCGCCCAGCTTTGTCCCATTAAGGAAGCCAGACGGCATGTAATGACTCACCACCTGGTTTCCTGATTAGCTGGGAAGCCAGGCGGCGTGTAAAGACTTGCCACCCAGCTTCCCGATTAGCAGGGAAGCCGTCTCCATGCTCCCTTGTCACCAGGCTCCACAGCCGAGCGCCGTGTAATGACACCTTGCCCGGCCTCCTGATTGGTCAAGAAGCTGGCCAACGCGTCATTACACGGCGCCCAGCTTCCCGATTGGCCAGAAAGCCGGCTCCATGCTTTCTTGTCACATAGTGGCGAGAAGCATGGGGACGGCTTCCCTGCTAATCAGAAAGCCGGGTGGCGAGTCATTACACGCTTCCTTGATGAGTACCAAAAAAAAAAATATCGGTACTTGTACTCGATACCGAAATCCCGGTATGGGTGCATCCCTAGTAAATATCCATCATGTTTACAGGTTTGTCCTCACCTCTGGTCTCGGTGGCTCCGGTAAGTCCTGCTGTGTGTGAGCGAACTACAAGTGTCAGCAGTCCATTATATGACAATCCTGGTGTCCTGTGTGTGAGGGCACTACAAGTGTCAGTAGTCCCTGTCCATTATATGACAATCCTGGTGTCCTGTGTGTGAGGGCACTACAAGTGTCAGCAGTCCCTGTCCATTATATGACAATCCTGGTGTCCTGCATGTAAGGGCACTACAAGTGTCAGCAGTCCCTGTCCATTATATGACAATCCTGGTGTCCTGTGTGTGAGGGCACTACAAGTGTCAGCAGTCCCTGTCCATTATATGACAATCCTGGTGTCCTGTGTGTGTGAGGGCATTACAAGTGTCAGCAATTCCTGTCCATGATGTCATATAATGGAAAGGGACTGCTGACACTTGTAGTGCCTTCACGACATCACGCTTCCCCTTGAGGACCCTTCATCAGACCACGTGTCCCTGAGATGTCTGCAGACGGGTGATGAACGCAGAGCGATCCACCATCAAGGAATCGCAGCCGCCGGGTCTTACCGCAAAGATCTCATCGTACATCAGCACCACTTTTTCCTTCAGCGGCTTCTTGGAGGCCGACGACTTCCGCAGCAGTCCCACTTTCTTCTCTACTTGTGCCATGGCTCACACATAATCTGCGGGGGAGACGGAGACAACATTATACATTTTATACATAGTTGCTGCCGGAGTCAATGAGAAAGACGGAAGGAAATTCCGGAACATCTTAGATACACATCAGGCAACAAAGTGTCCAATCTGCGAAGGACAGGGGCTGCGGCGGCCAATCACAGGGCAGCCTCAGACTCCAGGGTGCCTTATATGGCCTTGACACATGGCAGGTGAGCTTTGTCGCTTCTCCGACCTTCAAACAAATAACGCGGCGGCAGATCTGCGCGCTAGTCGCGTTTTATATTAAAAGCTCATCAGGATTATATTGAGTTTATTATGCATCAGAAGCGGATCATGGGGATGAAGACATCAAGTCACTGGGATGAGGAGCTTCTGCAAAATGTATTCAATTATATCAAATTAAATTCAATTATAGTGAAATTGGATAATCTTAGAAAATCAAGCCGGTAACCCAGTTAAAGGGCAGAACATCCCCCCCCCACCCCCTCCGCAACCACAATAAAGGACGTATTGTTGCAGTGTATGCGTTCAGCCGAGGAAACCCAGAGAACTTGTCAACTTCACCGGAATCCAATTTCTATGTAAACCTATAAACATGCGTGTACATAAGATCACCCCCATAAAAGGGAAACGACAACCCTTCCCCCAATAAGATTATAGTTTATCATGTCGTATAATAGGATTGTCAGAGATCAGCAGGCCTCACCCAAGAAATGTATTCCATGATATCCCTGACCCAAGAAATGTATCCCATGATATCCCCGAACCCAAAAAATGTATCCCATGATATCCCCGACCCGGGAAATGTATCCCATGAGATCCCTGACCCGGGAAATGTATCCCATGATATCGCCCGACCCGGGAAATGTATCCCATGATATCCCCCGACCCGGGAAATGTATCCCATGATATCCCCCGACCCGGGAAATGTATCCCATTATATCCCCCGACCCGGGAAATGTATCCCATTATATCCCCCGACCCGGGAAATGTATCCCAT